TCAATTAAAGACTATTATATGATATAATAATATACATTATGAGTTTATTTCCGGTGCTCGATGAAGCATCTGAAAAGATGGATACTGTTGATGGATTTCGATTACATCAATAACCGACATAAAACATCGAATAGAGAGGGAGAGGGAGTTTAGACTTGGATTGTATAAAAAGTATCGCAGAGCTGTGAATGCTCTCGACGGAGTTGACAGTGCGCTTGTAACAGCTGGCCTGGGACTCGGTGTAGCCGGTGTTTGTTTATTATCAACTATAATCGCAGCGCCTATCGTACTTGGTATAGAAGTAGCAGCCGGAGTCTCGTGACTGGCAGGAATAGCGATAAAATATATATATATAAAACGTGTATATTTATTTTAAAGTATATGTTTCAGGGCGTTTTTTCTGACTGATAATAAATCCTCATCATATAACGACCCGTGTTATTCACGAACACCCCTGGTTACAATTATAATTTTGCATTTGTTTGTCCATGCATTGTTTATAAGCTTTCGAATGCTGTTTTATTTCTTACTGCATTATTTTTCTTAAAACGACGTTTGGCTTTGATAAACATTTTTCTTGTCATTCTTGCATTCACCTCCGAACTATTGTTTGTCAGTTTTACTACGGTACACACCTTTTCCACCACTGCTTCTTACACTAAATGTCGCACGTGCAGCATCAGTTAGCACGTGCGCTATGCTGTCTCCAAGATTGTTTTCGGAAAGTGGGTCACATTGTTGCGTGGGCAAGCTGCTATGTTTATTTGTTTGTTCAACATCTATATTTTGGCGGAATAAGTCAGTTTGTTGCCATCATAACATTTTGGTTTATTCATCTCCTTATGTATGTGATTCGGTTTGGGGGGGGGGGGGGGGGGGGGGAGCGGATTTACTGAGTCAGGTTTTGTCAAACTTGGAGTGGACAATGTACAAAATAGTGGGGAGAACTCCTGTATAACAAATGTCATGAACAGGGGTAGGCACATAGGGGAAGCGCTGACATGATCAATTACAGTTTTGTCCTTACATGTTGTTTTTCCAATCAGTCTATTCGTACCCAGACGTCCATTTATAAATCTATAAATAAATTCAGGTTTTTAGAAATATCAATCAGTTAATTCACAAAGTTATTAATCCTAGTTCTATCCCATGTGCCCCACACCCTTGACAAATTCAAGTCATCCAGTGTAGTTTCGGGCTCCTTTTCTTTTCTCATCTCATTTACATCGAGATCAAATTCATCAATTATATACTCTTAAATAAAAGAAACTTGACATAGATGTAAAACCACTTTTTGCCAAATATCTAAAATAATTACATTAAATGAGAAACAAATAAGTCAACAGAAAGATGATGTGTCTATAATTCGCGAAAACACATGCAAAGCACATAAACGTAGCGTTTGGGGATCAATTTTACAGCTTCATCCAAACGCAACCGCCTGTAAAAAACGTGCAGCACAGGATCCTGCATTTAGGCATGCAGGCCCCCCTGCTGAATGGGTATTAAAAAAAACACATCAACGGCTGTTCATACAGTCCTTATAACGGCAGTAGAGGCGGTGACAGAATGCCAAGACTGAATGCAGCTCAACGAAACAACGCCATTGGGAGATTACAAGCTGGAGCAACTCAGTAAGAAGTGGCCAGGCACTTTGGCGTATCCTGATAGACAATCTCCGCACTGTGGACCCGATACAACAACACCAACAGAGTTGACGACAGACCAAGGTCAGGAAGATCCAGGGTGACAACCCAAGCACAATATCGATACATCCGGCTGCGACACCTCCGAGACCGCACTACCACAGCCACGTCTACAACCACACAGATCCCTGGGGTAAGCAGAATTTCAGATCAAACGGTACGCAACAGACTGAGGGAGGCTGGACTTTTTGCACGAAGACCTGTTCGACGTCATCTGGCGGACCGTCTGCTTTGGTGCCAACAGAGGGTTAGATGGGCACGTGCAAGGTGGAGAAATGTACTGTTTACTGACGAGTCCCGTTTCCTACTCACACGTGCTGATGGGCGCGCATGTGTCTACAGACGTCGGGGTGAACGTAACGCCCCCAACTGTGTGCAGCAGGTTGTCCCATTTGGCGGCGGGAGTGTCATGGTATGGGCCGGAATTCATCACGGTGGTAGGACGCCTCTCATGCATGTGGCAGGTGCATTGACAGGTGTGCGTTACAGAGACTTGATCCTACAGCCTTACGTTCTTCCTCACGTCAACGTTCATGGCGGACAGTTCAAGCAGGACAACGCTCGACCGCATATTACACGTGTTTGTCAGGACTTCTTACAGCACAACAACATCCAGACATTACCTTGGCCAGCCCGGTCACCATATTTGTCTCCGATTGAGCATCTGTGGGACGAGTTGGATCGACGCGTTCGCAGAAGGAATCCACGGCCCCAAACACTTCCGGCGCTTCTTGATGCACTTCAGCATGAATGGCAGCACATCCAACAGCGTGTTATTGACAACTTGATTGCATCTATGGGTCGTCGGTGTCAAGCGGTGATTGATGCACGTGCTGGGCACAACCGATACTGACATTTTCTGTACCCCTGTGACATTAATTGTGTCTGTCTAGGTGACACGATTAATGTTTTGAACATTGTGTACATTGATCTTCAAACAGTGTTTCAATTATGGTTTCTGTGTCCTATTTTGAAACAATCGCATTATATTACATTTTGAAAGTCAGTGTCCAGTTTCTTTTTTTGAAGAGTATATATTCATCAAATTTATTATAATCACATACATCATATGTTCTAGATTATAACACAAACACTATTTGAGAATACCTCAAGTGTAGATTGTTCTATTTCAGCTGTAACATACTTTGACCCCTCTTGGTGGTGGTGGTGGTGGTGGGGGAGCCATTGCCTAAGTAGAAATCTTGGTCCAAATTAAAAAATGTTCTGCAGGTTTTGATCCATTGAATATGCTCACATTTTACCTCAGTAGGAGTAATATTCTTGTAATTTACATATTTATGTCTAATTGCTATACCTAAACCCCCTGATTGTCTTAGTGCCCCTGGTCTATTCTGAAGAAATAGAGTATATCCATCTATATGTAAGTCATCCCAGGAATCAGTTTTTGTCTCTTGAAGGCCAATTATGCTCTACTTTTAAGCAGGTTATCAATCCTCATTATCATCATCATCAACCTGATTTACATCCTTAGTAATACAATTATCACGAGTATTATCACCTAGGGTAGTTTTAATTTCCGGACTACAATTCTCTGCAATGTCGTTATGTTTAGCAATATCATTGGCCCTATTATTTGTCTCTTTATTGATGCAGTCAATGGGGCGAGTCGGCCGATTTGACGCCAGGCGGCGTGAATGCTCTATCAGTCCTTCCCTACTTCAGGCCGTGCTAAGTTCAACGAGTGCGCGTCGTCTGCTAGCTGTCAAACCGTTGCAATTTTATAAACCTGTGAGTGACGATCCCCATGTTCATTCATCATGTTGTTTTGTTGATGGTCCGATCGGCTAGTTTTTCAGTGAATATTCACATTGTGAACAGTTGTATCGACAATGAATCATACTTTAAACGTCTAATATTCTCCGATATTAAACTTAAATTGTAGAAACTTTACAATCTAAAAGAAAATTGCACGATACGCTATCGCGGTAGGCCTAGTTAATTTATAATGGATCGTGAATGCGCGCACTTACTTACCTATTGGGCCTTAAATGTGTCATTGTTTCTTTTTCAACTTTTATGACACATCACTGATAGGTGCTGATTTCGGTAAACAAAATACCTGTCATTAGCCACTCAAGGGCGGGTAACTCTATATTATGGCGATAGGGCTATTGTGTGGTGTGATATGCGTGAAATATGTCCTTTACATCACTTCCTCTTTTGGGTTACGAAAAATCAGTATTTATTCGACCAAGATGGGTCAAAGGACTTCGTTCAAACAAATGGATTCTTTTCTAATCAATTTCGAATGGAAGTACGGGTTATCCACATCAAAAACATTCCAGAAACAATCATAAAAAGTTAACGTGTATGGCCTATGCTTAGAGTAGCAGTTGCATAGGCCAACCGCAAAGAGTCCTGTATTCGATCAAACGATGACATATCGTGCTTAGGTTTGCATAAGTAAAGTCAACAGGGGATGTGGATTACGAGATTTACCGATACTGCGATAACATCGAGTCATATATAAGTCGATAAAGTGATCTTTTCATCATTGTAACGATCTATTCCAATCCATGATGAGTAATTAGTAGTCATGTTAATGGGACCGGTTTTGTTGCTGTGAGGTTAGGTATGTTGTCTAGAATTCAATAATAATAATAATAGACACTAATTAATACTAATAACAAGAGAATATTTCAATTTGTCCTTGGGATATAATCAATAAAAGATGTTTTGTTATTGTTTCAGATTAGAGGCATATGACAGAAATTACGACTTTAGAGGAGAGTTGGTGTCAATGCCCATGCAGATCATCTGCATCATTCTGGTTTTCGACAGTTGGTACCAGAACACAGACATCTGCTTCCGAAGCTATCTGAAGGACAAATAGAAGTGTTTCATCTTGCCATGTCACTCCAACCAACACGCGACATTCGTGTCAACTCAGAGGTTGCGAATGAACGCGTATCCAAATTCACTACTGTTCTACTGCCGGCTGGTCACAATGGCTAGACTGAAATCCGGTCCCGTGTTACACGCATAGCACACGCGTGGGTCACTCGTTGCACACGCGTGTTCAATGGGTGCTCAACCCGTTGAGCACGCGTGTGAGTGGCATGAACATCTGGGCAGTTGTGTATGTCAACAATGTGTCTTTTAGCGTGGTATATTTAACCTTATATTTATATTCATCTGAAGGTTGTACGCATCGTTGTCGTTTTGACATTATTTATCTTGTAAACTTTGTATAGTGATGAAAGTGAGAAAATCCACAACTGTAACGCCTGTGTGGTTATCGGGACCATTCTGATGATGGGAGTAAGGACTTACCATTTAGGTTGAGGACCAACGAGCGATAACGTCCTCAGTGCAATACGTTTATGCAGTTTCCAGCGTTCTACAGCAACTGCGACGATGAGACTCCCCATGAACAACATGAGCGTATCCTGAGAGACAAAAAAAAAATGAATATTGAAATAGACACAGATAGTCTAAGAGAATTCAAGAAAGACAAAACATGTAGATTAATGGACTACAGCAAATCCTTCGACATGGTATCAACACGTCCCATTTTAATTCTGGAAACCCAATAGCCAACTCTACGGTCTTTACCCAGTCTCGGTCAAAGGTTTTTACAAAATTAAACATGCCGTTTTCATGGGAACATACCAAGGAAGAAAAAATGAAAAAAGAATTGTTCAAAACCTCAATATTTACACTATGTCGGCGAGAATATGTTCCTTTACTTAAAACTCATGTTTTTGTTTCGCAAATACATAAATATATTTTTTTCAAGTATCATGACACAAAATTTAACTCACTCTAACTTAATTCAACGATTTCATAGCGATATTGAAAATATTTCGCCCATGGGCGAGAAAAAGGTTAGGCCCATGGGCGAGAATATTTTCCTTTGCTCAAAACTCATGCATTTGTTTCGCAAATACATAAATATATTTCTTTCAAATATCATGACACAAAATTTAACTTATTTTAGCTTAATTCAACGATTTTATAGCGTTAGTGAAATATTTCACCAATGGGCGAGAAAAGATTTGGCCCATGGGCGAGAATATTTTCCGTTCTTCAAAACCTGTGTTTTAGTGTCACAAATACATAAAGGTGTTCTTAGAACTTTCGTGTCACATAATTTAACTCATTTTAATTTAATTCAACTATTTTAAAGCGTTATTGAAATATTTCGCCCATGGGCGAGAATATTTCCTTTTGCTCAAAACTCATGGTTTTGTTTCGCAAATACATAAAGGTGTTCTTAGAAGTTTCATGAAATAAAATTTAACTCATTTTAACTTAATTCAACTATTTTACAGCGTTATTAAAATATTTCGCCCATGTTGTCGTCAGTCCCTTTAAAACATCAACAAATTGTGTACAAAGTATATTGTATTATGTGAAATATACTTTATATTATATCATTACATTACTATTTAAAAAGGGCGTTTGGTTGGATGTTTCCCTTTATAGAAGTTTTACAGATTTCACCTTTTTTACATATTGTAACGATCTTTAATGAACGCGGCCTTACCTCTCAAAATGTTTTGACAGTTTATCATACGAATTCATGCGCTTGTACACCAATTCATTGGCGTTATTTTCCACAACATTAAAGTTTAGTTAGTTTCTTTCTTTTTCATTTCCCATTTTATGTCTCGGTGATACATTACACTGGGCAATTACGTGACACTAGGTATGTAATATACAGGTACGCTTGCGCGTATTTCAATGGAAAAAACCGATTCGTCTTTCATTGCATAACGTCTGGCTGAATATCTCACATTCCAACGAAATCTCGAAATAATTACTTAATTACATGCGCTGTCGAACTGACCAATGAAAATTATGTTTCAATGCGATTGAGGAAAACTTGAGTGAATATTGTGACACGAACTTTTACACGCATTGCCACTTTTGGTATGAAAATGGTAACAGTAAAGAAAAACGCAACAGCCTTCTTATGATAATTCTCATATTCTCATTAGTACGTTGCATCTAATTACAGTGTCGGCCTTATTTACAGGTGATTCTACAATACCTTCTCTCGATCAATTTACAATCTGCCACACCCACGCGTGAATAAACAGTTATACAGGTGTTGGTGTGGGCGAATATACTGCACCAAATTTAAAACTTCACAATCCTAAAATTTTAACATTTTGACCAGTTATCATTGTGGGCCCTTATTGTGTATTTAAAACAGAAATGGCCACGTATTGTCTTCAGATAACACCCGTTTTTGTGCAGGTGAATCGATCAAAATCATGTGCACAGCACTATAGTGGCAAAAGTGTTTTTTCACGTGCAACTGGTCACGTATCCATAATACCGCACGTGTTTTCAGCCATACTTGTTAGCAGTCATTAACAAAAAAAGAAAGACACAAGAAAACAAAAGTCTTTACGGCCATTTGTCATGCCACACCTTTCAAATGTGCAACGTGAACGTCCGTAGCTGAAGTCGCAAGGACGATGGGTTGTAGTCGACGGACTGTTTATGATTTACAGACGCGTCTACAGCAAACGGCCAGGTCGACCACGTGTGACGTCACATGCAGAGGATTGTCAGATTGTCTTACGTCACCTCCGTAACCGATTTTTGACGGCTACATCAACCAGAAATGAACTGTTTAAGGGTAGACTGAGTGCGCAAACTGTTCGAAACCGTCTGAGAACTGCGCACCTTCAAGCACGACGGCCATACTCCGGGCCGATTCTGACTCAATTACACAGACTTAAACGCCAATTGTGGGCACAGCGACACTTACGATGGAAATCAGAGGAATTGGAATCACGTCGTCTTCAGTGATGAATCCCGATATAATCTTCGATTTGCCCATGGTAGGGGGAGGGTGTGGAGGCGCCGTCATGAACCTTACGCCCAGTGTTGTGTACAGGAAGTTGACGACAGATTTCGAGGCTGAAGTGTCATGGTGTGGGGTGCTTACTGTGGCAATGCACGTTCCAGGCTTCTTGTCATCCGTGGTAACCTCAACGCTGCTGCTTACCGCGACCAGGTACTGGCACCAGCACATGGACCCGGTTTGATCTTCCAACACGACAATGCCAGACCCCACACAGCAATTTTGACAAGGAATTTCCTTCAGAATGCGGGTGTCAACGTCATGGACTGGCCGTCAAGGTCTCCCGACCTCAATCCCATCGAACACGTCTGGGATGCTCTTGGCAGAAGTCTGCGCACTCTCCAGAACCAACCACAGAATTTGCAAGATCTTGGCACCATTTTGCAGCAACAATGGCGTCGTCTTCCCAATCATGTGTACACAAGCATCACAAGGTCCATGCGGAGGCGTTGTGTGGCAGTTGTCAACGCACATGGTGGCCATACACGCTACTGAACTTGTGTGCCATCAGATTCTCGTGCTTAGGACTTATGATTTAAACTGTTGATGTTATTACCGAATACCGTAGGTGCTTGGAACAAATTATTGTTACCACCGTTAATTAAAATCCTTCTTTGGACATTAATGATTAAAGTTACCTTCTCTGATACATTTGTCCGTTGTATATCATATATAGAATTACTTTTTAAAATGTGAAGTTTTTAATTTGACTCAGTATACCTAGCCTGTATATGTATATTTTTTCGTGGATACACGTATTACATATTTTCGTTGATATGCAGATATATTAAGCACAAAGACACAAAAAGTTTATGAAAGATGAATTGGTGGCTTGATATATTCAACGAGAACGAATCTTGTATTTTCTCCGCGATCCTGATGTGTACCATCGTTTAATGGGTCATTCATTAAAAGTATGTTGTGAGGCGATATCAAAGGAGCCGCCCAGTTTGCACAGTGTCGTCCGTTTCGCGTGAACTACCACCCCACCCTGCCTGGAAGAGTTATCTTATCGGTACACAAATATATTTGATGCGGTATCGGTGTGGAAGGAGTTTGAATTATGTCCGCCACTGGCCACAGAAATCCTCAAAGTATAGTAACAATCAACAAGGCCAATGCCGTACTAATAACCTAGTGACTCACGTAACAACGACTGTCAATCTGTCTGCTACAGCTAACATACCATCATCCCTGTCACAACTGGCGTATTAACGGCTTATTCAAAATATTGATTTACAAAGTTCAACAGACTAACGTATGTCGTATTCAGTCCTCAACTGGATTTTACATTCCTTATATTAGCTAACGGCCCTGTTTGTGAAAATATGTACTAGACATAAGATTTAAAGACTAATAAAATCAATTGTAAGACCGCATCGATCATGAAACCGAATGTGTATTAGATGATGGTAAATATCTGAAATGTTATACCGTTAGATTAGGAAGGAGAAACATTAAAGTGTTTTATAATACTTGTGAACATGAGCAATAGGATGTAGCAACATAAACATGCATGGAATAGTGAAAAAGGTGAAAACAAATTGAAAAGGATTTTAAGACAAAATTATTGAACTAAATAACTTGCCTGAACACAAGGGGTACCCAAACTTGTTTGACAGTTTCTCGTGTGTTGTTGACTGTCGAATGGGACTCATGTGTGTGCGTAGGGTACTCATATCTATTGCCAGTTTTAGTACTCATACACTCTCTTTTTGTGTTGATATGATTTCTATTTTCATACATGATTTTTTATCTTTGGCCGCTCTGTTTATATTTGTTCGAGTAGCTGTCTGTCCCTCATAAATTGATATAGTTCTGCCTCGCTATTGCTTCTCTTGACTACAGGAGATCTACAACATATAGCGGATCTAACTGCAATTCTTGTTTTAACCAAGCCCGTGTTTGACTTTCCAGTAACTGGATTCAGGTTGATTGCAAGATAGGCATACCTCGTCATAGTGATTGTTGTGATTCCTCAAAGTTTTGTTTGTTTGTTAGTTGTTTAACGCCGCACTCAGCAATATTTCAGCTATATGACGCCAGTCTGTAAATAATCGAGTCTGGATCAGACAATCCAGTGATTGACATCATGCGCATCTATCCACGCAATTGGGATGCGATGACATGCATCAACCAAGTCAGCGAGCCTGACCAACCGATCGCAGTAGTCGCCTCTTACGACAAGGGCTGTCGCCCTTCTAAGCCAAGAATGGGTTGCTGAAGATCTGTTCCACCCGGGATCTTCACGGGTCCATTGACGCAGGGATTTGTGTAAAGTCATTCCGACAGCATACAATGCCAACTCAAAAATTATACTCAATGTCTCCTCAAAGTTATATAGTACGCTACTTAGAGTACATGTGAGATTATACTCAGGTTCGGGAGATGTTTAATCTATATAACACAATCATAATCTGGTTAATCTGTATCACTCAACGAATTGGAGAAGCTTACCCTGCCCACAGTATGACAGTAATAGTAGGTAAGTAGTATAGGTAATGGGGGTTCTGGACCACTTCCACTGGATCCAGATTCATATACCTATCCTGCTACTACAGATGGCAT